TTTATTTGGTGCCGTCTGTGGGAACTCCCTTCGGGGTGACCGGAGCCAGCGTGACTGGGGGCTAATGTGCGGGAAATCCCACATCGGTCTGTGAGGGACTACTTTCCCATCTTATAAGCAAGCTGGCTCCTCTTACCTTGCATAGGCCTTTTCCCCCAGTGGGGGAGGAACAAACTGTGCGGTCGGAAAGCCAAAGCGGACAATATGTGCAAGGCACGGGAACCGCACGGTTTTGTTCCTCCCCCACCGGGGGAAAAGGCCTATGTGCCTTGCACATATTGTCTGCTTTGGCATTCCGACCGCACGATTTTGTTCCTCCCCCACTGGGGGGAAAGGCCTATGCAAGGTAAGAGAAACCAGCCTACTTATAAGGTGAGAAAGTAGTCCCTCACAAACCAATCACAATATGCAAAATAAGAAGAGATTCTTGATAGCCACTGGGGGAAAAGGCCTATGTGCCTTGCACATATTGTCCGCTTTGGCATTCCGACCGCACGATTTTGTTCCTCCCCCACTGGGGGGAAAGGCCTATGCAAGGTAAGAGAAACCAGCCTACTTATAAGGTGAGAAAGTAGTCCCTCATAGACCGATGTGGGATTTCTCGCACATTAGCCCCCAACCGCACTGGCTTCGGTCACCCCGGAGGGAGTTCCCACAGACGCCGCCAAATAAAGCCACCGGTCCCCGTGCCTTGCACATATTGTCCGCTTTGGCATTCTGACGGCACGGCTTTGTTCCTCCCCCACTGGGAGAAAAGGCCTATGCAAGGTAAGAGAAGCCAGCCTACTTATAAGGTGGGAAAGTAGTCCCTCACAGACCGATGTGGGATTTCCCGCACAGTAGCCTAAAACAGCACAAAGCCTAAGACCATCTCCAACGCATCTTTAATTCTTTCATCAAATTTAAATTTGATGAAAAATCATCCTTTTTGCAGCTCCAATCCTTTCATCAGATCATTATCAAATTGAGGATGTGATAAATCTTTTACCAAATTGAGGATGGCTGGGATCTTTTATCATTTGATTGTTCATAGTCATTGGATTTGCATCATTGGACGAACGGCCGGATGTTCACCCGGTCATCCGCTTAATTGAAATATTCCCATAACAAATCATTTCAGAATTGATTGACATTTACATTGGCCGATCGACCGGCCGGACATTCGCCCGGTTGTTCTCCCTACCGACCGATGTTTTGATGAAAGACCAATATCCTTCGTTGGAGCGCCAGATATTAGATAGAATTTTTACTCAAATTTTGTGAAAAAAAAGATACAACGTTGGAGATGCTCTAACTAATCAATTCCTCTACAAAATTTACAAAAGCCAACAGATCTGAATCTACCGTAACCATAACCCAACTATGAAGCACAGTGAGTAACCGACACTCCAACCACAGATTGGACCGAGACATATCATGAAAAATACGCCTATTCCACTCCAAACATATCAACCACACCAAACAATGCCCCACAAGCATCCATGCTTTCCGACGCCATTTCCCAACCTTCCTCCCAACCCAACCTTGCAACACCGCCAATACCGAACTTGGCTAAACCCAAACCAAACCAAACCAAAAGTTGTAGCAATAAGCATCTAAATGAATAAGCCAATGATCCAACAACTCCGCATTCCAAATCACAAATTAAAAAATTTATAATATATTGTTGCCATTGTTTCAAAAAAAAGAAAAAGAAAATGTAGATACATGAACTTTTATCATAAATATATTTTGTCTTTATCACTAGCATGATAAGATTATGTTTTTTTCTCATACAGTCTGCCTCTATGGTTAATTTGTGGAGCAAGTTATAAATTGAGCCCATTTGGGAAGTGGCTTTTTGGCTAAAATATTAGGTGAAAAAAACAATATGTTTGGGAAGAACTTCTTGGCTTTTTACTAAAAAATATGCAAAAAGTAGAGTGAATAGGATGGAATCTGACTTTTTTTGTATGAGGTGCTATTTTAGCCAAAAAGTCAAAAAGCTACTAAAAAAAGCCAGAAAGTCAAAAAACTATTAAAATGCCAAAAGGTTTTCAACTCATACAAAGAAGTTAAAGAGTCCTTCTCATTCACTTTACTTTCTTTTATTTTTGGGATCAAAACAAAGAAATTTATTAATGGACAAAAAATAGACGAGGATAAGGCATCCTCTACAAAGAATTCCCATTCACTTTACTTTTTGCATGTTTTTCGTAAAAAGTCAAAAAGTCTTTTCCAAACATATTTTTTCACCTCATATTTTAGTCAAAACCAAAGCACTAAAAAAGTCACTTCCCAAACGTTTTTGATCGATCAATTAATTTTGATCATGAATTGGCATAAAATTTTTAGATAAGGAATAAAATACATGAATATATATGTTCTGTATTATTATGTTGGAGAGAAGAAACAAAAGGAGAGAAGAATCTGTATATATAAGAAACTTAACCATATATGTTTTTTTCTTTTTAAGAGTGTTAATTACTATATTTTGTTTATTATCTCATATATCAACATTGGTAATAAACATAAGTGGGGGAGAATCATTAAACTAATATAATGTTGACACATAAGGTGATAAAGAAATTATGATAAGAAACGATGATAATCCTAACATTATTGTTTTAAGAGTTAAGTCATGTTTGTTTGGGTGGACATGAGCTTGGGATTGGACTAATAGTCCAATAAAATTATTAATCCGATATTTGGTTAAACAATTGAAGTACGGACTAATTATTTTAAACTTGACTATTAGTTAAGATAGGGTACATAATCCAATGGATTCATAGTCCTAGGACTATTAGTCATGGGAATGCTAATCCAGTCCGCCCAAACAAACATGGCCGTGGATTATGAATTGGATATTCAATGGAGTAGAGTGGGTGTTCAGCAAAATGAGTTGGTTTGATTGGGTGTTCAATGCAGTGGGACAGGGTATTCATAATTGGACTGTTTTTAACATATATATTACTAATTTATTAAAAAAATATATTTTATATTATTCAATTGCATACCCTATTGAAGGTTGGCTCTGCCCTTGTTAGTTGTTTTCTGGGAGGTTTTTTTTATCTGTATGCTTTTCCCTCTGATTTAGGACTGTCGTACTTTTTATTTTTAATGAAATTTTTTTTTTTTGTTTGCCGGGAAAAAAAATTGAAACAACTAAGGATTTAGGGAAGACTTCAAATTTCTTTTCCATGTTCCTATAAATGAAATATATTTATATGGGCAATAACTAAGCTTTGAAAAATATTACAATAAAAGTTGAGACCCCCTTTGGGAGTCACCCCCTTTGCATTTGATTGGCTAACTTTTCTTTTTCTTTTTTTTTTTCTTTTCTGATCACCCAATCCCCAACCCCCACGTGTGTGTGGGGTGGTGGGGGTTGGACTTTTAAGGGGGTATGAATCATTGCTCAAAATATTAAGACCAAACAAATAATTGATTGGCCACAATCCTCACAAATATAGTCAAAAAAAATTTCCTTAGGAAACAAAATTTGAGCAGAAGATTATTATCAATTTAATAAAAATAAAAATAAAATTAAAATGCTCGAACTCAAAATACCTTTACAAGGTAAAGAACTCACTAATATAACTAATCCTTTAAAAGAAAATTTATGTGGTATAAGAAAACAAATCACAAACAATTACCCAATAATATATATAGATATTTTTGTTTTTCCAGGATCTTCATAAATACTAGTTGCTGTTCCACAGCACAGCAAATAACTTAGTTCAAGTAACCCGTAAACTCCCCAAAACTCCACAATTAAAATGGTCACTATATCATGTACATGTACCAAAATAATTTCCTTAATGCCAACTGTAATGTTAAAGCCAATTGTTAAATGTGGAAGGCTTTATGCTTTAAGATGTCTAAATACTCTGTTCAAATCCAAAAATTCTTTAATACTTAAACGCTTAATCCAATTGTGTGGGCATTGATTATCCAATTGTGGAAACTTAAACGCTTAATCACTTAGGTGTATGCTTAAAAAGGAAAAATTAAAGAATATAGTCCATTCTTTTATACTTGATCCCAATTCTTAAGCTAAGTGGCAGATATCTCAATAATAATAATATCAGAAATCTCATTATTCCTTCTCTCAAGTTGCAGCCTCTAATGTACCAAAATAAAACACAAGTATTATCGATGCTCAGAGAAATGCACATGAATATAACCTTTGCATAGGTAAATGAACATGTTCAATGTGCTTCCTTGATCCAATTAACTTAGTGATGGGGTCACATGCAGAAGCCCAAGGTCTAAGAAGCACGAATATGGACACAGAACATGGTGATTTAAAAAAAATGAGGACACAGACGTGGCAAGAACATGCCAATAATTTTTATTTATTTTTATTTGCTATGTAGATTAATATTGCATCTTCAAACAATCGAAATTAATAAAATCTAACACTAATTCAATATAAAAAAAACTATTTCTCAAATTAACTCTTATGGTTAGTTTATTGTTATGAATGATCTATTAATTATTTAAATCTAAGTAAAAAGTAATAAACATTCAACATTTAACATCCATAAAATAATAAAGAGTGGAAAAAAAACTAGTTGGCGTGTTTCTGATGTGTTCCCTAAAAACAACTTAACTAAATAAAAAAGGACGTGTCCCTTATGTGCTCTTGCCATGTCCATGCGTTTGATACTACTACGACACTTGATTTGAAATGTTAGTGCTTTATAGCCCAAGATTCATTGCACTTATATGAGGTCGGCGCAGAAGAATTAGAATTAATTTAGTTAGCTTGATTTATTTTGAGATGTTTTATTTAGGGAATTAATAGTTTAATTTTGGATTTTTTCGAAATTTATTCCTTTCTTATTTTTATCTTTTAGTTGGACTATAAATATTGAGGACTTAGCCATAATCCCTTTACCATGTGTAAACAACCACGTCATAACCCTCGGCCTTAGAATATGTGGGTCTACACGTTGAGCCAGTCAGATAGCCCCATTGGTCCTTTCCAAGGATAAAGTTGTTGAAAACATTGGACCAATACGAATAATTTTCTCCATTCATATGAATGCTAATGGCTTCCAATTTATCTTCAGACATAATTCAAATCAGAGCAAATAATTACATCACTAGGTATATATACCAAGACCTAAAATCTAATTAGGAAACAAGCAACTAAACATACTAAAGTGCCCTTATTCTTGAAATAATGTTACAACTGTCGGTATGTTTTAATCATTATGCAGCCTTCTCAATTGCTTCAATGCACTCTAACACAGTTGCCTTCTTCGACATTGCCGACATTAGGGACTCATGAATTACCTTGTTATTTTTTAAAAGGGATCCAGCAAACAGAACCTGCATTATTTCCCCCGGTCATCAGCATTCTTCACTAGAAAACATTGTGTTATGATTGTTGAAAAAAAAACACCATTTTTTTTCTTATTTTTTTCAACCAAAAAAAAAACAAAAAGTGTTAAGTTTATATACCTACCCTTGAAACAGAAGAATTTCAAAGTCAAGATTGTAATGCAAAATGCAAGTAAAACATGTGCATTGGTTGCATGATAGAAACACTCACAGCCCATCTGGTAAGATTTTGCTGCTGTTCTTTGCTAAGCTGCGGCTTGCTCCTGTTTATCAACCTCTGGGAAGAGAAAAGGAAATTATTAAAAGACCAAAGGTCAAGTAAGATCTATATACAACTTGACTTCAGGCCAATAATATTTACAAACCTGAAGAGTGAAAAGATCAGCAGATTGACCGACCACTTTATCATATTGCAAACCTTCAGCTGCCAGTCCAGCCATAGCTACAACTGCCAACCTGAGAAAGATAATTACTCTTGATATCATCTCTACTTATAAATAGTGAGTCTCAAGAATTCACGTCATTTTGATATAAGAAACCTCAATCTTAGATTTTTACATTTTAGTGACCTTATAAAGTTGCCTTTCTGTGCCTTTATGCTTTAACATTTTAGTGACCTTATAAAGTTGCCCTTTTGTGCCTTTATGCTTCAACAGTTGGTAGAAACTTGAATGGATATTACATTAGGGAATTCAGTTTGTCCGACACAAAATGGAGAGAACATTGATAAGGCTTGTATGGAACCAATCAAGTTGTAAGAACTTAGGAAACATGTGAAATAGAAACTATCTTCACATGCCAACATGAAACTGAAGAGTAAGACATGATCATGGTTAGTCAATTTTTCTAACCCACAATTAGACTTTCGTGAGCGGCATTCTAATTTTTAAACGGGAAAATATCGAAGTACATTAAAATAAGAAGAAGAAGAAAAGAAAAGAAAAGCGTAACTTATCTCTTACTTGTTTTAGAATTGCGCAACAACAGGAAAATATTGAAGTACATAAAAATAAGATAATATAAAATAAAGGCTTAACGTATCTCTTATTTGGCTTATGCTAAAAAAACTGCATTAAAATTGCAAGAAAACTAATGACATGCCCATTTTGTTAAAAAAAGAAGCCAAGTTTAGAATTTTTGTGCAGAAAACTCCAACAAAATCACGTGACAATAATATTTTTGCACTTATGAATCACAGTGATAGGCTTCTTGTTTTCCAATGAATGGACGTGAATAAGGCATATATGATTATGTATACAAATTTTGTTTGTATAGCATAACCCTCATCTATACCTATGGCCATTTTTTTATTGTCTTTCGTCATTTTAGTGGCACCTTCAGCTTGAACAAAGTCTCTATCGCACTTGAACTGAAGGAACAATGGCAAAAATAGGGACAGGCTCAAGACGTTATTACATTAATATCGAAGCATGCAGCACTATCAATGTAAACTAAGACCTCATACATTTCACCCTTATGAATTTGATGAACCAAGACATACAGTGGTGATTAACTGAGGAAAAATAAAAGTTGTGGAGAAAGAAAAGACAAGCCACAGAGTGAAACTGGAGTTATGGAAACTACAGCTGTCATACTTGTACCTGTCCAGTTCCTTTGCATCAAGCTGCCCACTGTATATGAGCTTTTCCAGCTTTTTGTCAATGAGATTAACATGCTCTTTCCCAATATCCAAAGAATATCCGAGTATAGGAAGGCCAAGCAAGTAGGCAACTGAAATTCACAGGGCAAGTTTTGTCAAATCATGCAACCCCAAATGGAGAAGAAATTAAAGAAGAGATGGAAAAATCATATATATGCAAATTGTTAAATAAGGTGATCTTGCACGAAGTTGGTATAACCATATGGTAAGTCATGGTGCCCATGCAGGAGACTGAAGAGCAAGGGCAAGGAATTTGGAGTATCAAATTTTAAAAATGATCCTAACAAATGCTCAAGAGCACCATAAGACATGGTTACTGTCATGACTCGAACCCGCCCCTATGGGTTAAAGACATAACCGGCCAGTAATCAAGAGATTACCTACGGCCTCAAACCATATAAGACAAAACTCATCAGAGTAAAGGGGCCAAACGGAAGCATATTTAAAACTTTGTCCATAGAGCTGTGCTTATATGCACCTCATAACATTTCACATAAGTGTTCGTTAATAACTCACATCAAAAGGGAAGTTAACATATAAACTGTACATTCAGGATCATTCGAGTCTAAGTCAGTCAAACCCAAAGTTTATATACAAAAGTAGTTCAATGTTTTTGCCAATGTAACAAAACTATAACAAAAGAACAAAAGAGGCGAAGACAAATCTCGTGCGTGAGACGTTGGGTTAACTCCTCAAAACCTTGACTGTTTCTCACATATTTCACCGAGGCTGGGTTTGGACATCCCTTGGCTCACTTACATACACATGAATGAGCGTGAGCGAAAACCCAGTGAATAATATCAAATAAAGAAAGTACACGAATGAGATTCACATATATCAAACGGCCTTGGGCCCATTTAGTATTCTACTTCGTGTATTATTCAACACATTAGGCGATTCAAGCCCGAACATATCAAACGGCCTCTGGCCCACTTTGTTCTTAAACGAACGGCCTCGAGCCCAATTCATTCATGTATATCAAACAGCCTTTGGCCCAATCATTCATGTTCAACGGCCTCCGGCCCACTCATTGGCCCATTCATTCATATCCAACGGCCTCTGGCCCATTCATTGGCCCATTCATTCATATCCAAATTAACAAACTTATAAGACTTATAATAAGCAATTGGACAATTAACATACTTCAAAATATCTTTACTAAGATATTAATCACAGTGTTCTCCCGGTGGATTCACCCTTGAGCTCGACCCTACACATTACATAACACATACGGGTCACAAACGATTCAATCCGTTCTTAATTCATACATCCCTCTTAGGCCTCTTTCTTATTCTTTTAATTCATTCATAATGCTCAGTGCACGCCTAAGAGTACTTAGAAGTGAAAGAGAACGGAAAATGAAACACAGTAACACCTTTACAAATTTTTTGAAATAGGGGTCCCCGCTCGAGCGTGGGTTCCCCTGCTCGAGCGGACCCTCATGGTCTGCAAAAGTACTGGTTACCTCATTTTTACGCTCGAGCGCGACTTCGGACGCTCGAGCTGAAATCCACTCTACATAGCTCCCCACTCGAGCGTGAACTTACCCGCTCGAGCAGACATCTATGGCTGCAAAAAGTTCTGGGAGTTCGTATTTTACGCTCGAGCAGCGCTTTCCCCGCTCGAGCGGACATGCCAAATTCTGGATTTTCCAGAACTGTTCTTCAAGTTCAAACTCGACCTTCAAAGGTCCAAAGCTCATAATTTCGGTCCAAAACATGCAAATACATCATATAGCATATGGATGTAAGCAACATGAGGCCAATCATTCAAAATCATGGTCCAATTCTTCAAAATTAATCAACATTTCTTTGTATAATCATGGATCATGCATTCAAACCTTATATAAGCTCCATATCTTCAATAATCAAACATGCATGCCAATTTTAACTTCATTTCTATTTCAAATGGTGCAAATGGTGTTCATTCTCATGAAACTCAACAAAACCATGCTTGCATGTATGATCCAACTCTCAATCTTTTATAATTGACATGCTACATGTTAGATAATGCAAATTTATGGCAATTCATAGCAATTCTATGCATGCATGTGCATATCTCATCAAAATCAACACAACTCATGTTCTTGATTACCATTTAATCTTTAATTCACAAAATCACAACTCAAACTCATGAATTAGGGGTTGATTACTCACCTAGGAGCTTCAAACACTCAAGTTCTTTGAGTTTAACTTCAAATTTTCAAGCCTTGAGCCAAAATTGCACAATTCTCCCCCGTTCTCTCTCTAGAGCCGGCCTCTCTCTCTCACTAAAGTACAAACTCAGATTTTGAACTCAAAACCAATGAGTGTGAGTGCAAGTTGGCCTATTTATAGGCTCTCTTAATCAAATCACTTAAAAATAAGTAATGGTGCTTTAATTAGTTATTCTGAATCTGATTATTTTGATCCGAATCAATTTTCAATTAAATTTCACCATAGGCTCTAAAAATTACGCCAATCACAATGGCGTAGTCAATTTTGATTTCTATGGCCGATAGGGCCTTCAATTTAAATTCCAAAGCAGAAAGTCAAACAAATTTCCCTACGGTGAACAGATAGAAATTCAAAACCACATATATTTATATAAATGGCACTCAAAATCATATCAAACACATAATCACATTCGTAATTAAGATTAATTAGCATAATATGGAACAGGATTATCACAGTTACTCAACCAGAAAGCCACCATTTGATTTGAGAATCATGACTCACTCCTGGCATTACAAAAATTATCAGCACTTCAATTTCTCCTTTCTTTAAGATGTATTTTATACCTTGAAATCATTGATATGGTCTTAAAAGTAGTGTTTACCCTTAAACATTTGATACCCTTATGATGTGGTATTTTAAAAATATGAAATACTATATATGATTTATTATTAATAGTTTCCTATTTACATAAAGTTCTAATATAATATAGCCAATAATGAACAATCCCATATCAATTAATCTAGAAATTTCCTTCCTACTCAAACCCTTTATTAAATTAAAATTATTTATTTTTATTCTGAAATTTTTAAAATTAGATTTTTAATTATTTTTATTAGGTTCCCATAGCTATACATATAATTTTTTTTTGGTATATTTGATTGTTGTTTAAAAATAATTTTATTAACTAATCAATTACATAAGTTAATAAATATATATTTTTTACTATCTTATAATTTCATATTAGTGGAAATCTCAAGGAACAAAATAATATCAACTCAATCGGAGAGAAAGGATATTATGTCAAGTTACCCGAGGAAGCTGCCCGGCAAGAACACCGAAAAAGCCTGTTGTCCCTACCACCGTAAACAGAAAAGATGCCTGCATGACGGAATGAAATCAAATTCATGGAGAATATAATATTTACGAATTACGATGGTTTACATCTTGCAAAAATAAGAAAAGAAAATCAAATGGAAGGCACAGGTGTCATCACATTCTACTCTTGATTCCCCAAAAGTACAGAATGAAATTTATGCAATGGAATGTATGCTCTTTTATTGTTATAGGTTAAACAAAACATTTAGTGTAGGGCAACTTACATCATTTCTAACACTTGGGATTGCAAGGTTCTCCGCGTTTTAAAATGGGAGTGGTTTTAGATAAGGGGAAAAAAATCAAATTGTAGATTCAGAACATGAGAAAATAATTCAATTTTTTTTTTAAAAAAAAAATGCAATCTTGAAATATTTTGTTGAGCTTTTTTCAAATGTAATATGGAATTCCATGCCCACACACATTTCCGAGATGTTTCAGAAACTTAAATTTAGGCATATGATTATTAATTATAAGCTGAATAATGACGATTAAAGAACATGGAAAATGAGAATCGAAATCCGAAATGTTCCAAAATCGAGAATCCAAATCCATAATTCGCAATTTGAACCACACTCATTCACAAAATCCGAAAAAGCCCTAAAAGTTTGTTTACGAAATAAATGGAAAATGAAAGGAAAAAAACATGTCAAACCCTACTTGCATCGTGAGAGAAGGGGATGGAAGAGACATCGAGAAACAGATAGAACCAGACAGACCCAGATCGACAGAAAGGGAGAGAGACAACAGACACATACCTGTAATCAGTGGTGGGGCCGATTTGCAGTGGTCATGGTGGCGAGCGCCGGTGGCCTGCGATGGTGATGATCGCCGGTGGTGAGCGACGGGTTTGGTAGG